TCACTCTCTGAAGGCCGCTGTTCTAGTGACTTTCTCTTCTCTCTTCTGGGGACGGGAGAGGAAATCTACCCTTGGGTCTTTAAGGCAAAGAGACCTAAGTCCCGAGATTAGTGTTCGCTAAGTCACTACATCTACGACAACAAGCGACGACAAAAAAAGCCAAGCGTGTGGTCTGGGCCGCCGTCTGTCAGTGCAGCTCTGAGGTCCACGCGGCGAGGCCGGAGTGTTGGGCGCTCTGTTCGTGGGACTGGAGTGTCTGGTGCTCAGAATCCCTCCCTTCCCGAGAGCCTGCACCGAGACCAGGCTGAGGGTCGCGCTCCGCAAACGACCTGGTCCCTCTGAGGCAATCGTGCCTTGGGGGGCGTGAGGGGAAACTCTCCCCGCTCCCCCTCAGTTCTTTAGAAACTAAGCATCGTGGTGTTGTCAACTTGACCTAAAACTTAAGTTAAAAAAATAATACAAATAAACCAAGGTGGGAAGGAGATGGGCCCGACGTGGCCGACGGTCCGCGGGGCGCCAGGGGCCCGGCCTCTCCTCGGTCCACCGCTCACGGAGGTAAGGGTGGAAGTTCACTTTCTGGGACTAGATTCGTACCAGTTTTTACTGTGGCCCCGGCCCCCTGACCCGGCGGAGGGACGGTGTGGGGCGCTCAGCTGAGCTGCCTGGATGACAGGACTAGAGTCGCTTTTCGAGGTGAGTTGTTTTATCACAATCTTTGTGCGTTTCTTCCCGGCAGCTTCTCGGCCCTTCTCGCTTACGTCTCCTGGGGCACCACTTGCATGAGCTTCTGGCAAAGGACCGTCGTGGAAACTGGTGGGGGGAGGGGATAGAGGAATTAGGCTGGGGGGGCACCCGCGTGATGTGGGCCGCGGCTCCCCCTGCCCCTCCGTGGCCACGCCGTCCAAAGCCGCAAGAGTGGCCACCTTCCTACGTGAGCCTTCCCGATGTGCGGCCTCCCTGCCGCTGGGTGCCAGCCTGCACACCCGGCTGGGGTGGCCAAGGAACCTGGCAACAGGCAGGGGCCGGCCCCACCCCTCACCTCGCTTTCAGAGCCCAGGGTTATGAGGAACCACAATGGGGCGCAGGGCCCGCTGCTGGAGGGCTGGGGCATGCCCTCCTCCTCCGGGGCTCGCCTGTGGTCCCGCAGAGGGGCTGGAGCCCGATGGACACCTGCCACCACAGATTCTGGGGAACACTCATCCTGGGTGTTGACATCAGGGCGGAGGGGTTCCTGCTCTGGGCCCATGGGGCGGTGAAAGATGACCGACCGGGAGCCGGTGGTCTAGGCTGGAAGCAAAGCTTCACCAACGCGACGGCGGGCGGGCGCCAATGAGAGCTCACAAGGGCCCACGGGCACGTGGTGATGGTGGCACAGGCCTGCAGACCGCCTGACTCCTCCAGGGACCCGCCACAGTACGGGCTGTTTCAGTACAGGGTCCTGAGGCTGGCCTGTCAATCGCACCCGGGACGGCGATGCAGGGACCCTGCGTTCTCCTCCGCTGCCTTTCTGGGTCAGCCAGCTGCGTTCAAGCCGGCAGCAGACGGAGGGATTTCATCGCTCGTCAAAGGCAGCCTGGTTTTCTGGAATCCCTTGTTCTGAGATTAGCTGCCGCCGAGCTGAGCGTCTTAGCCCCGGACCACGTGGGCTGAACGTCACTGCCACCCACGTCCCAGGGCCCGAACCCTGCTGTTTCCGTGGGCCCCCCGCCAGGGATGCATCTCTCCTACGCTGGCCGACCCCGGGACCTGGGGACATC